AGACCAATCAGGATAATTTGGCAACTTTAATTCTCAGGAAGATCAAAGTTCCCTCCAAACCTAATTTGATGTTTTATTACTAAAAGCAAAGACCAGTATGGTCCAGTATTACTCCGGAGAAATGAAAGGGAGATCCTTAGGGCTGCGTCAGCCACATTCATTTTATGAATGGACACCTTCCCTACCTCAAATGCTTTAGGGAGGTACTGCTACCATTACATGGTTCCTTATTAAATTTGAAAAGTGCCTGAAAGTTTGGGCACCAGAAAGACACCCCAACAACATGTGTCTAAACTGCAACTTCAGGTTAATATGACTAAAGCAGTTACATTGTGAGAAGTGCTGAAGGTACATGATGTCTTTCCCGGCACAGAGGTGGCCTCGGTTCCTCACCAGATGGTGTAGTCACCATCTGAGCCACTCACGAAGAAGTTCCCCTTGTGTTGAGTTACGAGGACGTTGGCTCCCTGCATGACTGCAAGCTGAGCAGCATTGGGAGGGCATCCAGGAGGTGGAGGAGGAATGTTGCCAGCAGTAGCCCCAGCTCCGAATCTGGCACCTGCATCATATCCTCCTTCCACCAGCACTGTGCAGCCAGGCAGGTAGATGGGACCAACCGGGTAATAAGCCATGGGGATTGTGGAACCTAAAGGCCCAACAGCCACCGACTGGGCCATGGGAAGATACAGAGAGGCGCCAGGAAACGCAGCTGACATGGTGGGTACTGTGGCAGCCCCTGGGTGCACAAAGCTCGGATGATAGAGCTCTGAGTAGGCGGGCGGAGCATCAGTGTAGGGTGGAGCCTGAGGAAGATGCAAGGTCTGAGGGTAGACTGGATTCCCGGGAGGCTGCACAGGGTAGGTGGGCTGCGTTGGATATTGACCTTTGCTGTTCATGGTGGCTGCAGATCCGGTTCGTGTTGGCGTCGCGGACGGTTCGGCATTCATGATTTTTATGATTTTTGCCATCATTTAAGATTTTCCTCAAGTCAACTTAAAGTTTTAAAAATAAATATTTTAAAAAGTAAACTTTATATTACTATTATAAATTAAAAGGCATAAATAGGAGGTAAGAATAAATTCATAATTCTTAAAGTTAAAAAAACTTACTTTTTAAAATAAAAAGAATCTGATAACCAGCAGTATATATACCATAAAAAATAATGAAATATTGTTCTTAGGGTGGATACATACATCGGGGCCCAGTGCACAGTCAGTGGTCAGTAGATGATAGCCTTTCTTCTCTTGCCGCTTCCTCTCTCCTCACTCTTCTTTCATTGCCCATTCTTGTCCCTGTCCCAGTAGGCATGACTGCACCTCTGCCTTCATTTCTCCTCTGAACATTCTGGAACTGGCGCCATGCCACTCTCCTCCAGCCCATTTGGAAGGGATTCTGACTATGTCTACCCTTTGTAAAATTCTCTTTGGGAGCTAAACCCTCTAGGCAGGACTTGCTGTGAGCAGACTGGTCCTGTGCACCTTGGTGATGTGGTGTGATGGACACTGAGCAGAATCTAGGGCCTGGATCCTTGCTGCTGTTTCGGCCATTTTGATTCACCCTTTTTGGACACTGCACTGAGTTACCAAGCTGTCCTCAAGAGACCAGTTTAAGTCACCTCTTTTTTCAAAAGTCAGTTTAGAGCCTGGCTCGGTGGCTCAGCCTGTAATCCCGCGCCTTTGGGAGGCTGAGGTGAGTGGATTGTCTGAGCCCTCGGGTTCGAGACCCGTCTGGGCAGCAAGACCTCATCTCTACAATAAATCAAAAAATCAGCCGGGCGTGGTAGCACATGCCTGTAATTCCGGCTATTTGGAAGGCTGAGGCAGAAGGATCGCTGGAGCCCAGCAGGTCGAGGCTGCGGTGGCCGGCAGCGGCCACTGTACTCCAGTTTGGGCGACAGAGTGAGACTCCAACTCAAAAAAAAAAAAAAAAAAGTCAGTTTAGTATTCCAAACATAAAGAGTAAGAAATGGTCTATCAAGTAATGTTCTGACTTATAAAGTTGAATTTTTCATTAGTGAGTTAAAAAAAAAATTATTTTAAATTTCTATGCAATAAAGTTTCACTCTTTGGTGTATACTTATAAGAGACTTAATAAATGCATGGAATCCCACAGTCACCATCATACTCTGAATATGGAACAGTATAATTAACACCCCTCTCCAAATTCTCTTCTCTCACCACTTTGTAGTTGAATCCTTGACCCCTGGCAATTGCTGATTTGTTTTCAGTTCCTACAGTTTTGACTTTTCCAGAATTTCATATAAATGGGATCATATAACATGTGGACTTTTGAATCTGCCTTCTTTCATGTAGCAAAGTGCCTTTTAGATGCATCCATGTTTTGCATGTATCAATAGTTCATTTTGTTTTGTTGCTGAATTGTATTCTGTTGTATGATTATACCACAAATATTTTTTTAATCCATTTTGCAGTTGAGGGACATTCGGATTGTTTCCAGATGGTGACTACAAATAAAGCTGCAGTAAACATTCAATAAGGTTTTTGTATGAACAAAGCATTTCGTCTCACTTGGATAAACCTTGGAGTGGCTCTGCTGGGTTGTATGTTAAGTGTACATTTAACTTTACAAGAAACTGCCAAACTGTTTTCCAAAGTGATCGTACCATTTTACATTGCTATCAGCAGCGTGTGAGAATTCGAATTCCTCCATATCCTGGTCAACACTTGGCATTGTCAATTTTTGTTTTTCATAATTTTAGGCATTTTAATAGGTCTGTAGTGGAATATCATTGTGTTTTTAAAAATGAGATATAATTCACATACCACAAAACTTGCCCTTTTAAAGCACAGAATTCAGTGGTTTTTAGCATATACGCAAAGTAGGCAACCATAACCACCACCTAATTCCAGGACATTTTCGTCATTCAAGAAAGAAACTCTTTATCCTTAGCAGCCACTCCTCACTCCCCTTAGGCCCTGGCAACCACTAATCTACTTTATGTCTCTGTGAATTTGCCTATTCTGGACTTTTTTTTTTGAGTCAGAGTCTCACTCTGTCACCCAGGCTGGAGTGCAGTGGCACACTCATGGCCACTGAAGCTTTGACCTGCTGGGCTCAGGCTATCCTTCTGCCTCAGTCTTCTAAGTAGCTGGAATCACAGGCGCACACCACCATGCCTGGCTAAATTTTTGATTTATAGTAGAGATGAAGTCTTGCTAAGTTGCCTAGGCTGGTCTCGAACCCTTTGGGCTCAGGCAGTCCTCTCACTCTCGTTTCCCAAAGTGCTGGGATTACAGGCAAGAGTCACTGCACCCAGCCTCTGGACATTTTTAATAAATGGAACAATGCATACCTTTTGTGACTGGCTCCTTTCAATTAGCATAATATTTTCAATATTTTTCATGTTATAACACATATTTCATTCATTTTTATGTTTGAGTTATATAATCGATTCTTGTTATTCACAGTAGTTATGTTCTATAAAGTCACAGCAAACACTGAATTCATGAATACTGAATCATTGCTCCTATGGGAAATATATACACACACGCATTTTTCCTTTTATTTTCTTCCTTTTTTTTTTGAATTGAGGGAGTCTCACTCTGTTGTCCACGCTAGAGTACAATGGCATGATCATGATGACCATGGCTCACTGCAGCCTTGACCTCCTGGGCTCAGGCGATCTTTCTACCTCAGCATCCTAAGTAACTGGGACTACAGGCATGTGGCACTATGCCCAGCTATTTATTTTTAAATTTATGTAGACGAAGTGGTTTCCCAATGTTGCCCAAGCAGGTCTCAAAATCCTGGACTCAAGTGATCTTCCTCCCACCTTGGCCTCTCAAAGTGTTGGGATTACAGGTGTGAGCCACCATGCCTGGCCTACACATCTTTCATAGATTATAATCCTAAATCCTAAAAATAATTCATTCCAATAAATTATATTTATTTTATTGTACAAGAGAGAATAAGTGCTAAGTGGCTTGCCTGAGGCTGCTAACAGGTGCCAGAATTGAGATTCAAGCCCCCTCCAACTGACCAGAGCTTCTTGCACTACACTGCACTGTCCCCTACCATCTCCACCCTCTGGTCATCTCTGCATGACAATTGAAGCAAGAGGGTTGAGTGTCACCTTGCTTGAACTTAGCTGGGGATATGTAAATTGGGTAATTCAAATTTTCTGCTGCTCTGCACATATCCCACAAATGTCTGGGAAAGTGCTGTGAAGATTGACTTTTGGATTGCAAATAAATTTTCATGAGTGGGTGAATTTTCAAATATAGAATCTTTAAATAATGAGGATCAATTGTATATCATTGAATTTTATGTCTTTTGCCAAATTAGGGATGTTTTTAGACAATTATTTCTTAGTTAGATTTCTGTATCAATCTCTTTCTCTTCTCCTTCAGGGACTCCAATGATGTGAATATTAGACCTTTTGCTATTGTCTCAGAAGTCTGAGGTTTTGTTCATATTTTTTTCCAAACTTTTTTCTTTCTGCTCTTCCAGTGGGGTAATTTCTATTGTTCCATCTTTAAGTTTACCAACTTTTCCCTTTGTTGTTTCCTTTCTGCTATTGAATCCACCAAGTGAGTTGTTTTTAACATTTTTCGCTCTAACACTTTCATTAAAAATAATTTTTATTTCTCTGCTGAAAAGGTCCATCTTTACATTTAGTTTGAGAGTGTTCACCTTTACCTCATGGAGGAGGGTTATTTTTTAATTTTAAAGGTGTCGGGGCACAATTCAGGGTTAGGTATACAAATGTTCATTATGCAGGTATCCTCATTGACGAGGTATGCCCCCACCACCAATCTTGCCCCACCCTCCCCTGGCAGTTTCTCACTACTGTCAACCCCTTTCTTATTGCATTATGATAATTGTTCAAGGTCCGCTTATGAGTGAAAACTTGTGGTACTCAGTTCTTTGTTTCTGTGATAGATCACTCAGTATTTGGAGGAGAATTTTAACAGCTGCTTTGAAGTCTTTACCTGATGACTCCAACAACTGAGTCATCTCAGGATTGGCATCTGCTGATCCTCTTTTCCCTCAAGAATTTTTCACAATTTTATTGCTCTTTTTATTTTCAGTAATGTCAGTTCAGTCTTCACAGCCTTAATTATGCTGTTTGCATCATTTCTTACATGAGCCACTCTTGAAATTGGGTGGTGGTTTTTATTACAGTTTAGTTCTTAAAGCCTTAGACTCTTAACTTCTTTTAGAGTAGGCCACACACATGCTGCTTGGGGATGGGCCTGGGCCTATATCAGTCTATAAATAAGACTTGGGGATCCCCTTCTCCAGTTCCTTCCTCTCTGGATTCTAGACATCTCCTTTCTCAGTCCCTCTGAGCAGGAGGATGGAATTCTCTCAGATTTCTAATTTTTTGGGCCTGTTGTATAGTTCTGCATATCTGGGCTTACCTTTGGGGTGATGTGTAAAGGAAAACAAGAGAGAAAATAATAAAGATTCCACCCACGCTCTTAGTTCACTGGCTTTCTCATTTCATTGTTCAGAGAGACAGGTTTCCTCTAGGGATTTTGGTGTCTGCACCAAGGACACTACTATCACTGTGGCAGGCTGATCTCTGTAAGATTGGAAGAGAAAAAAGAGTTCAAAATATAGTGATTTCCTCCACATTCTGCAGCTCTCACAGGTTCCCTTTCTTGGTCCTCTGATTAGGAAAAGAGGTCTCTTGGAGTTTTTGCTATCTGCACTTCCTCCACAGGCTAAAGGTATTTAGCTTACCTTTAGGTCAAAGCCAGGAGATAAAGGAGAAAAAACAAATACATAGGAAACTCACCACCATACCAGTCATTCTTCAAGTTCTGACTTCCTTCCCCAATGTGCCTGTCCTTGTTTACTTTCCAGTCCTCAGGTAATGGCTTTTTTTTTTTTCCCACCCAGTTTTTGTTGTGATTAGTGGGAGAGATGGGCTGTAGTGAGCTTTTTCCTTCTTGGTCATCAGTGAATG